CCCCCTCTCTCCCTCTCCTCTCCCTCTCCCTCTCCCTCTCCCCCTCCCCCCTCTCTCCTCTCCCTCCTCATTTTTTAATTCGCCGTTCTCCTTTCGCATTCCCCTCCCCACCCCACCGGCTCATCACCTCCCCCCCTCCCTTTCTTCTGTTCTGTTCTCCCGACCTTATACACACTCCCCTCCCTGCACCCCCACCCCATCTCACGCGGGTGGAGCCAGCATACCGTAGTTTCTGGCTTGTAGTAAGTAGTAAAAGGGGGGACAGGTTCAACAACTCGGCTGTTTTAATCGGCGCGAACGAGTTTATGGGTCTAAGGTCTTGGTAGCGGTGGAGAAGAAAAGAGAGGGAGGGGGAGGTTAGATGGAGGGAAGGAGGGAGGATGGATGGAGGGAGGGAGAGGAGGAGGAGGAAAGGTATGAGGAGGGAGGGAGGGGGGGGTTAGATGGAGGGCAGGAGGGAGGATGGATGGAGGGAGGGAGAATAGTAGGAGGAAAGGTAGGAGGGAGGGAGGATGCAAGGCCATTTACCCCAGGTGTATGATGCGCATACATGTTTTTGTGGATATATAGTTATGTAGTCAAGAGAAGTGGCAAAAAAGAATCCTCTCTCCATGTGGTAGGAGAGAAGGTATTCACAGAGACCTGATTCCATTTCCTTATATGGGTGTGTGTCCATGTGTGTGTTTGGTTGTTTGTTTTGGTTGGCTGGTTATTTCTGTGTTTGTGTATGTGGAACAACAGATGAGCAGAGCGGCAAATGTACGATTAAGTCTAAATGGAGATAAGTGAATGGAGGAAAATTTTCCATCATTATGCGTAAAGGGTTTGGCATACATTCTTGACATTTTTTTGTCACCTTGTTGATTTTAGAAAATAATAATTGGTTTATACCTCTACCATTTTGTAGGTTAAACTTATTTTTGTAATAATTTTCCTGGTTTTCAAGTTGGCTCAAATATTTTGAATTTTATTTGTTTCATATATTGCTATTAAGCTGAAGTTACATATTGATAGTTTTAAAAATCTGATGTGAATTTCACTTTATAACCTTTCTCATAATACCTCTGTTGTTATATAGTATTAAGTTATTACGGTGATCTATATTAAACATTCTGTTTATTAAGTTTGCATATTTTATTTATTCATTGGATTTTGAATATTGATAATCATCATACAAAAATATGAACTAAAATATTTTGAGAGATGATATGAGAGCACTTTTGTATATTTGATTATTATATCTTGATTTTGTTATCTAAAGCAATTTGCATATATTTTCTCCAGGTATTGCAGAATGCTATGTTGCAGACAAATTCAAAGGAACAATTTTTTTCTTGTTAGTTTCTCAACTCGAAAGAAAAAGTTAATAGTCAAGAAACTAATTTTGTCCTTGGTCTCTTTTTCCAGACATAGCAGTTGACTGGTCAGACCATGCCTTATGGTGGCCCAAGAAGAACGTGTGGCTGACCCACACCAGGTCAACACTAGACCAGTATGGAGTTGGGGCAGCGGCACAGTTGGAGTTCACGCCCATGCACAAGAACCTCCGCGTACAGCTCCCAGACCTTCGTTACATGGATTTCAGAGTGGATTTCTCCATCAAGACTTTCAATGCTGTTGTCCAGCTCTGCAAACAGCTTGGTTGGTTCCCTTGGCTTCTGGTAGTTTAGGGCTACTGGCTCTCCTTTTTTGGTAGTGGAGATCATGTTATTAAAACTCATCCTTCTTTCCCTCTTCCTTATCATCATCTTCCTCTTCTTCTTCCATTACTTCCTCATTTTCCTCCTTGTCCATCTCCTCTCCTTCTTCCTCCTTCCTCTCCTCCTCTTTCTCCTCCTCTCCTCCTCTCCTTCTCCTCCTTCTCCTCCTTCTCCTTCTCCGCCTTCCACTGCCCCCTTCCCCTCCTCTTCTGCCTCCTCTTCCCCTCCCCTACCCCTCTTTCTATATGCAATTTTCATAAGATTAAAAATACTTTATCCTGAAGTATAGTCTCCTAACATTTATTGCAAGTATTTAAAAAACATTATGTACTCTTGTAAACTCGCTTGAATAAGAATGAGGCCTGTATTGGGGCTTTTACACACACTTTCCCAAAGTTGAATGCTGAGGAGAATTTTATGATCAATAAAATTTGTTGGAGTTTTTGCTAAAGTTTAGAGGGACATTGGAGTTTTTATATATGATGAAAGGGAGAGTGTTGCGCCATTTCTGTTTCTAGTTTTTTATGGTTTACTATTGATATGGTTATTATTGATATTTATTTTTGAGGTATCTTTGGGAAATTAATGTAGTTGGGATTCTGTAGATGTAAGGAATTAGGTAATTCATGAATACAGATAGAAAACTAATTTCCTGACAGTCCACATATTGATCATTCAGTAATACTCCTTTGCTCCTCAATTCATGCACCTCCCATATCTCTGTTGTATCAAGAACCAACCCTGACTGTTGCACTTTGCTTGGAAGTCGTAACTAGGGGTAAATGCACACAAAATCAAGATAGGCAAGGAATTTCACATTTATTAGGCCAAAGCTCTGCACAGCAAGGAAATTATAGTATCCATTTGTAATTCTGTTTAGATTAATAAAGCAGGAAAATTTGAGAACTAATGGTTCTTGCTTTTGGTATTTTGATATTTTCGTTTTTATTTTGAAATCCCTCCTATTGTATATTTTGAATTAATTTCTGTGTATTTATAGATAACTTTGTAATGATCATTATATTTTCATTGTACTTATTTGGATATTCATTATATGTTCACCTGTTCATCTCTATATTTTTCCTATATTCACTAACATCCTATCACTCCCCACTTAGGAATCCGTTACCCTGAGGAGCTGTCCTTCTGCAAACCAATCACCCAAGATAACCTCAAATACAATTACTCAGAGAAGATGATTAAGAAGAAAAGCACAGCGGCCACAAAGAATGGCACCCCTGCTGACACTAACTCCTTCATCGCCAACCAGTCGCACAACTCGAGCAATGGCTCCCTGGACCGCTCAGCTGCCTCTCACCACATGCCAAACTCCCCCACCAGGACACCCATTGGATCACCGGTAAGCTAGAGAGAATCCTTAAAGTTGGATTTTCCTTAGTCCTATCTGACTCGGGGACCAGACTCATGTCAAGGGTTATCACTCACTGTCTGGGGATCAAGGGGAGCCCAACTAATTGTTCTGTGCCCTGATCCTGCTAATTGTTTTACAAGCTCTGAGGATCTGTAGTGGATAATCTTCCAAGGAGTTTATTAAAGATTATTTTGCAGATATGATATTACTTGAGATATGTTAAGGTGAGGTTAGACATGCCAAGCTCCAGTGAGTGTGACTGTAATGTATCCAAAATGGGAGACAATGTGGCTAGAGGAGGCTCAGGGACCAGGGATGGGTAGTGGAACCAGGCTTAGAAAGATAATCCTCTAACACTACTTAAACTTAAACAACCTGCCAGGGTTCTGAGAGTCCCATTTTTTTTCTTCTTCTTCCTTTCTTACTTTCTTCAATATGTAATACACTGAGTCTTAGCACTGTTTTTGAGTTGAAATATCCTATTATTTGCCAGGTTGAAGATTGTGTGTGCATTCAGCAGAAGTTTGATAGATTATTTTTCCTCACAGACTGGCACCTGGAGATTTAACAGCAATGGGGTTGGCAGCCTGAACAACACAATCGACAGTATTGATGGCTCCGACGAATTTGTGGCTTCCCTTGCCAACTCTCCCATTCATCCTTCAGAGGAGGCACGCAATAGGCTGGTCAGGCCCAAATCCCTTCTGGAGAGAGCAAGGATGAATGTAGCGTAAGTGTTTTTTCATAATCTACTTCTTGGCCGTAGTTTTTTTGTGGATTTTGTATTTCACTTCTTTTATTACATATATTAGAATGTGCAAACATAACTATCCCTTGAAAATATTGGAGTGGATCTCCTTTGTTACATATGCATTCTCTAAAAGTATAAGCATCTTTAATTTACACATTTACTTTGTATTTCAATTACAGCTGGCTTGACTCCTCCCTCTCTATCATGGAACAAGGAGTTCGAGAGTTTGACACTCTCCTCCTCCGCTTCAAGTTCTTCTCCTTCTATGACCTCAACCCTAAATACGATTCTGTGCGTATCAACCTCATCTTTGAGCAGGCTAAGTGGGCCATCATGAATGAAGAAATCGACTGCACTGAAGAAGAAATGCTCATGTTTGCAGCTCTGCAGGTGAGGCTTATTTCACTGGTTTGAAAATGTTCTAGAATCAGCTCAAAGGGTTGTCTAAATCAATCCATAATTTGTTTGAATTGCAGGCAAACTAGGTAATGATTTGATCCAGTTACAGTTAATTTTTGAGGGGGAAGATCATGCTTAATCCTGTTCATGTATTTTGCAGCTCCAAGTAAACCTGCAAGTCAATCAACCACAGCCAGACATGAACAGTGGAGGTGAGGATGACATCGACCGTGCACTCAGTGAACTTCAGATGTCATTGGAGGGCTCCCATGTGTCCTCCACTCCAGCCGACATCATGCACATCCCAGAACTTGCAGACTACCTCAAATTTATGAAGTGTGTAGCTGGAATTGTAATATTCCTTTCCCCTTTCTTTTCTTTTTTTCTTTTCTTTCCTTCTCTTTTTTGTTTTACTTCTCTTTTCTTTTCCATAAAATTGGTCATGGAAAAGGCCTGTTAGATTTTGAGGTTTATTTGAAGCCTACCATTTTTATTGGCCTCTACCATTTGCTTCATTGACAGGTTATACATATATTTTGTCAAGTTTTTTCTTATTAGAGATTAACAATATAAAATACAAATGCACCTCATTAATAACTTTAATCAGTGTTTCAATAAAAACATAAAACTCAACAAGACCCACTCTTCAGGCCACGTCGTTTCACACTGAAGGGCTTCAAGCAGTATTGGTTCACATGCAAGGACATGAACCTCTGTTATTACAAGACCAGTGATGGCACCAATGAGGACCCCATTGAGAGGATCAGTCTGAGAGGATGTGAGGTTACCCCCGACGTGAATATTTCACAGCAGCGCTATGGTATCAAGCTGGAAGTGCCAGCCTCAGATGGCATGACAGATTACCTTATCAGATGTTCTTCAGTGAGTTAACTCCAACAGATATTTGTGAGAGAGAAGGAAAGAGTGATGATAAAGTTAGGGTAATATTTGTAATTATGAATTATGAAAATTTGTAATCAAAGTTCACAAAAGCATATACCTATATATGGAATTTTAAAGGTTGTAAACCTTACTGCATATCAGTATATCTGGGTGTCTTTTATCATAAAAATGTTTGAGTTAGAGCAGTATTTTGCTGTGTTTTATAAGAAATATCAAGTCTCAACAAATTGATGGTAATGCTTCTTAAGGTTAAATACAATAACAATTTTTGCATGCAAATATGTATATTAGATATAAATTGACTTGAAGCTGATAGCCCTATATGTCTGTACATACTTGTTTTTAGTTATGATGTGACTTTGCCCATGCAGTAAGTAAACTAAAAATTAATTATTTTCTGCCTGCAGGAGGAACAATACGCGAGATGGATGGCTGCCATGCGCCTGGCGTCCAAGGGAAAATCACTCGCAGACTCTTCTTATGACAGTGAGGTCAAGTCTATCCTGGCATTCCTGTCTATGCAGCACCCAGCACCTGCTCCTGTCATCAATCCAGAGAGCCTAGACATCCAGCCAGAGCTTTACCTAGCACCTAGGTTTGTGCGTCGCATAAGAGGCAAGGTCAGTATGAGTTGGAAACCACTGTTTTTATGGTATCAGTTTTGTGCATATTGGTACTTTCTTGATGAACTGGATTTTAACAATCAAAATCATTGTCTGCTTATACTTATGGAATAACTTTGCTTTAATTGTAGAGATATAATGTTAGACTACATTATTTCATTGATTTATAGCAACTTTCCTATCTGTATCAAAGATAGTATGTCTTTTTTTATACATCAAGTATTTCAGATCTATTAATGTATACTTCTTGTGCATTAAGATGCTGTACTAACTTTTTTATTAAGGCAAAGATGCAGTTGACAGGTTAGCAGTCACTGATGACAAACTGATTAGTAAATGATAATGATTATTTGAAATACAATAAAGTTATTTGTGGACATGAACTCAGATAACCACCATGCACCTCTCCATTGTATCTTTCCCTCAATAAAAAAAATAAGTGTTGATACTTATGGGGATATATATGAATGTGGTAAAAGAGAGATACTACAAAAGAATCTGTCAGTATTATGGCTCAGATTGGGTAGTTGACTCATCTTTGGTTATATTTGTGATAAAAGTGTAATATCTCTGTATTGGGTGATGCCGTCAGATAATTATATTTTTTACGTATTGATTAACCATATTTGAATGTCGTCTGTATGTTTAATTGCCATAACATTCTTCTCTCTCTCTCCTGACGTTAGCCAGGCACTTGCATTCCTGGACCTTCTCCGGTAAACAAAATCTTTGGTTACCTGTCATCATCAAATGTTCATTGCTTGATGTCATGGTGTCTGCTCAAGTAACTCATTACATGTACATTTTATAAGCATAATTCCCTGAAGTAATTGCAATATTCTTCTGAGACTTAGCGCTACTGAGTCAGGTGTATTTTATATTTTTTAGCTATAGTAGATGAGTAGATTCTTAAACTCCCCAGTATCTCATTCTGCTTATCAATTGGGTCATTTGCATTTTTACACCACATGTAATGTGCCATCTTTTCTCCTGGTAATTTGAATTTCTGTACTTTTTTGGTTAATTTCCTTCTTCATGAAAAGTTTTTATATTGTCTATTTAGTTAAAATACTCAGGCTTCTCTTTTTCTTTTTCCCATTTTGTGTTTCTGTCTCTATCTTTGTTTATATTCTTTATCAAAGTTCTCTTAATCTTTTCACTAGAAGTAAAAGTGTATGAGAAGGGTTCATTTTTGCCTAATAAATGTAATATTTCATTAGTGCAACTTGAGATGCTCTCAAGCTGTCCAGAGTATGAGAACATGTATATCAGGCACACGCATAACGTGTGATGTCATCTCCCATACAGGGGGGCTGGTGTGCTGGCCCATTACCTGACAATATGGTAAATTGGTGTTGTGTGTGCTCACATCCTCCTGTTGTCACCCAATTTCCGCTTTAAGATGGATAACTGTCTACCAAAAAATATGTATAATGGGAGGATATCCAGCATGAAAAGGGGGACATGTATTTCTGCATTCTTTTCTTCTTCCTTAATTTGTTTTTATTCTTTGGTTTGCTTACAAACTTTGAGTTTCCTTAAAGCTTCACCAGTAGCTTAATGCTTTAGTGTCCCTTCATTTGTTAACTTCTCTTGTACATATGGAATCTCAATCATAGTTAAGATTATGAGTTTTTCACCCTCTCCTCACCTCACCAGCACTTTTGTATCTGAACCAGCGGTCTTTCAGCATAGCTGTGAGCGTGTAGAAAGTGTTATCCCTTTAATGCTTACTGAGTCACATGTGCCACAAGCTTTGGGAGTACGACAGAAGATATTTAGTGTATGGGTATCACACTTCAAGTCTCTGTTAAGTGCTGAAGTTATTTAGTGATTGTTAATTTGATGATTCTTGAAGATGAGATATGTTATACCAAATTCATTTGATGGAATAAATTTCATATGTTTGATGCAAATAAAAAAAATATTATTGTTTTTTTGGATATGGTGTTTAAGACCTGTCATAAGAAAGTGATGAAGATGCATAAGACAAGCTGTTTCCTTAACCAAAGTCAGCCAGAACATCTGCATATCATAATGTTAAGAATTCCCAAAATTATGTTAAAAACAGATTTACTTAAGATAAGGAGTGCACATATGAGATGGCTTCAGCAAGAGACTTGAAGTGATCTGTCATTGGTGTGGGTTTTTTGTGTGAAATCACTGGAGTAGGTAAAAGTGTGCAGCAAAAATATCTTTTTGCAGGAACAAATTTGCTTGGTTTTGGAGGAAGCATACAATAAGTTTATGCACTATTTATAGCAGTTTTTTTGATGCTTTAATATGTATTGTAAATTGTTAAATGGTCAAGATCTTGTGTTATTTTGTGAAAGATATATTTCTACAAATCATATGCAAGGAAGAATTACTATAATAAATTCATCATTACTGAAGTTGCATAGCATTCTTGAGCTTGACACATTCTTTTAAACCACAGGCAGTGCAGCGCATTCTGGAAGCTCATGCCAATGTTAAGGACCTGCCACTGACAGAAGCCAAGCTGCAGTACATCCGGGCATGGCAAGCTCTGCCCGAGTATGGCATTGCACTCTTCTTGGTGAAGCACATGGGACACAAGGTAAGCTTCGAACGATCTCTTTTAGTATTATGGTCAATGGGTAGATTTTGATTCGGGACCTCTGATCATTCTTTTGGGATTTTTTTTTTTCGCTTCTGTGTTTGGTTTGTTTAGGACATCATATTTTATTATGTTGGCTTAATTTAATGTGTCGTGGAATATGATTTTGTAAGATTTTTAAAGCTGTGATTATTTGATTTTGTTGTTGTTAGTAGTATATTTTATTTTCTTCTTATCATCATTGTCATTAATATTATTATTATTATATTTATTGAATCTAATTTTATTTTATTTTATTTTTTCCATTTTGTTTGTTGTTTTACTTTGCTTTGCTTTATTTTACTACTACTACTTGTACTTGTACTTGTACTTGTAAATGTTATTGTTATTGTTGCTGTTGTCTTTGTGGTTGTTATTGTTATTATTTTTGTTGATGCTAAAATAATTTACTATAAGGAATATGAACTTAAAAAACGTTATGATTTCAGCGTGAGGAGTTGCTAGGTGTGGCCTTCAACAGAATAATGAGGATGGAGCCTAACACAGGTGACCACATCAAGACTTGGCGTTATAACACCATGAAGGTAAGAAACTGTCTCAATGCTGGCAAAAAATGCTGTGTTGCTTTGTTTGGCCATATATTCTTTGTAATAATATGTTTGATAACTGAGTACAATAAGGAACTGTGGAGTATTAGAATAAGAACATTGTAAATTTCTGTTGTTAAAATGGACTGTTACCCCCTAAAGATAACTGAAAGTGCAATTTTGGCAATTTGGAAATGATTAGAGCTTTATGATTCTCAAATTACCCAAAGATCTTCACTGACTTTGCCTGCATATATATGGGTATACACATCAAAGATGTTCTTAGACCAATTGCCCAACAATGTGTTTTTCAAAGGGTTCCTGTTAATTTAACCACATGCCGCCAGGGATGGCATGTGTGTGCATGCCATGCCCACTGTATGGTTCATTTAGTAATTGTTTTTAATTGGCCAAAGAGCCAATTACGAGAACTACCTCTCTCACCTGTTTACCCTTTTCCTTGATTTGTGATAATATTTTCTAGCATTTAATACTGATATTAGTAATGTCAATAACAACAAAATAATTATTATGTTTATAACAAACATAACAGCGTCAATATTGAGAGCATTAGTATAAAAAAAAGCATTTTCCAGCTATTGCAAGGAAAAGTAAGGTCACAAGATCTACTAATGGACTCCTTGGTGGTTAAGCACTGGCAGAGCAATTTATGTGCAGAAACATTTATCAAAGCAATACTAAAGTGAACACATTTTCCTGTCGGCATTAAGTTAAACTCGTCTACAACATATGCATTGATTTGTTTGCATTAATGCACTCTGTCTTGTGATTGTAGCACATCAATATTTGTGTTATTAATGTAAGTTTAGATTAACAAAACATTTAATAACACATTTTTGGGCAATTGTACTTGGAACACCTTTAGAAGTGCATAGCCAACATATGGTAGTTTGATATTATCCTCCAAAATGTTGTTTGATGTATTTTCATTAGATAATACAATAATCATGATGCAGCTGCAAACCTTTATGTTGGTTGTGTATGCCAGGGACATAATTTTGAGCTATGGATATTGGTATGGCTTTTTTTCAGGAATACATTGGCTAAAGCATGAAAATGCTTAACTTTCAAGGGAACATGAGTAGATGGTCAGAATTGGAAAAAAGGCATGGGCATACCAAGCCACTGTTTTTCATGTTGAAGAGAACAAGATATACCCATCTTTTTAGCTCAAATATTATGCCATGGGCTGCTGCAGTGAGAAAGCTACCTTTCACCCAGAAAAATTACCTAGACAGAAAAGCAGAATAGTGAAAATAGTGAAAGAAAGGCCCCCTTCAGTTTTAAAGAGCTTATGTATATTCTGTCCAATATTCAATTCTCACATTTCTTTGATTTTCAGGCTTGGAATGTCAACTGGGAAACAAGACATATGATGATCCAGTTTGAAGAGGAGAATGTGGTGTTCTCTTGCTTGACTGCTGATTGCAAGGTAAGCTTGAGGTTTAGATGGCATCTTTAAGCATTTTGTCTTCTTTTTTATATAGGTAAATACTATCTACTAAAGTAAGGAATATTCTGATAATTAATATTGTGATTGGTATTTCATTCAGTAGAAGTCCAAATCCTTAAATATTTGGATGTTATTTTAGAGTTCTTAAGAGTTAGAAATTACAAATTTTTGAAACTTGTCAAGAGAAGAGCAGTTAGTTGGTGATCAATTATTTTGATAAGATCTAATGTTTTAAAAGATTTGTCAGAACATCAATTGTTTTACATCATTGGGATAATCAGACATTAATTTTTTTCAGGTGGTTCACGAGTTCATTGGTGGATATATTTTCCTCTCCATGAGGACGAAAGATGCAAACCAGAACCTGAATGATGAGCTTTTCCACAAACTGACGGGAGGTTGGGTCTGAAGAGGAAGGTAGACACTCTTCTTACACTCTTAGAAGTTGGCTCAATGCCATATCATTTTAGCTTTTTTTCTCTGATCTTTATATACCAATGGTCATTTAAAACTTGTATGTTATGTGTAACTGCAGGAATGGCTGCTTAGCTAATCATTGCAAAAAAATGAGTATTGGCTTGATGCCAGGAAAGTTGCAGAAATGGTATAATTTTTATTAATTATTAGCATTTTCTTAGGAAGAAATGAGTTGACATGCATAAATCCATAAAAAAATAGAAAGTTCAAAGTAATGAGCTTTTTTTGAAATGTGTAGATCATAAAGAGCACAATTTTAGCCTTAGAATTCTTCCAGTTTGGCAGTGGCAGCAGATTTTGCCAGTTTTTATATACAAGTTAAGTCGTTGCCACAAAGTCCCTACCACAATATATAGTGATAAGTGTTCATACCAAACTGTAAATTGGTAAGACAAAGGCGTGAGAGTGATGCTGTAAGTGTGACTGTGTAGCATGGAATTTCCCTCTCCAATCTTCAAGTAAAGAATGAAATATCCCGAGCGTGAAAGTAAGTCAATTGTTGTAGGTTAGAAATCATATAAAGAAAAAGTTCTTCCATGAAACAGTATTGATACTGAAATGGTTATTCTGGTTTTGTTTTGTTTTTTTATGAATGACTAATATAATAGACCTGGGTGAAAGTGGGTAGTTTCATAGCATACATATAGGGTGTTCTGCCATCCATTATAAACTTTAAAAGAATATCTGCAAGAGAAGGAAGCCTGGTCATGATTTAAGCTGCACATTGAGAATAGAGTACCGTGCCAACATGTCAGACTTTGAGATAATCGAGAGTAACAGAGTACTCAGCAGGGTCAATTTGGTACTGCTATGGTTGGGTACAGGTAGACCGAGACCTAATTTGTACACTACCCACCTTCTGTAGTTATGTTGCTGATATTTATGCTTGTTGAAATTTTATAAGGAATATTATATAAAGTGTTAAGAAAAGAATCATAATTATTTTGAGATTCTATAAAAAGTCATAGTTACAAGAACTGATATGTATGATTTTTTGTATGCTGAAGCTTTATTATACTATGCACATTATTTAAGCGTTCTTTTGATCATAGTTCTGGATCCCATTGTGAATGTTCAGTGTTCCTTCATGAAAGATTTGTCATAATTGTGGAGAATAAATTTTAATTCAGACATTGCATAATAATAGTTAGATATGCCAAGCTTTCTCAGTAGAATGTTATGGTGAGACTAGTAAGATAAAAAATATATTGCTTAATATATACAGAGGCTGTTGCTTGCTAATTAAGTATTCACATAGGTTAGATAGTCGAGATGTACTGTATGGACAGTTGCAATGTGAAGACTAAGGGAAGGTGTCAATTGCAGATCTTATTTGAACGTTTCCTATGCTCAAAGTCATAGACAATCAGAACTGTAGGTTGGTCTGCGCTTACCTTTAAAAAGTGGTGATGAGGTGTTGAACTTACATGAAAGTCAAGGACCTTTGAAAGAGACCTCAAAAGGCTTAACCTTGCTTGTCATTTTTTACTATAATTTTGTTATTATTTTTGTTATTTAGTTGAGCATAAAAATAATTACTTATTCTGGTATGCAGTGCAGGTAAAGAGGTGATGTGGTGTAACTGATACAAGTTCCTGAAAGCCATATGGAATTACCATTTCTTTTTTTTCATATATTTCTCAATGTGTAATCACAGTAAAAGAAAAAAGTACGATTCTGCTATGAAGTGCTGGTAAAGGTTAGTTTGAACTAGAAATGAAGTATATTTAGAGTTGGCAAAGGCTTATTGGAATAATTTGTAGGACATCTTTTAACCAAATTTAAAGTTGATCTTCCAATTGTAGATTTCTTTAATTCTGTTTTATTTTGTTTTTTAAAACTCATATAAGGCATGAAGTACTTTGCTGTTAGAATATTTGCTTTTAGTGCACAATGATTTTTGCAATGAAAGTGTTTAGAATCGCAGGGATATGTTGGTGTTCATGTGTATTTGGTCAGAACTGTAAACCTTTACACTAAAGTGAAGTAAAAAAAGAAAGAAAGAAAAAAAAAAAACATGTATGTGGTTGTGTATATACAGTATACATAATCACATACACGCACATGTATATACATATATTTGCATACATAATGTATATATACTGGTACATATGATACAAGAAATTCCCCGTCTGATGGTACTATGTAATGATCGAAGATAAAGCAGATTATGTCCAGCTCTAATGATGTCTGCCAACATGTAGCCTTATAAATGGTGCCTAATTATGCATTTAATGTTGATAGATATTATATGTGTATCTCACTTGACCTTTTAAATTGTTCATATTTGTTTATCCTTTAAATTTTATATGTATTCTTAACACATTACCAACAAAAGGGTTGTTATTTTTTTAAAGTGTGAAGCTACCAAACTAATTATTAACCTTCCTTGGACAAATTTATATTATTCTGGGAAACATAGAATACGAGAGAGACCGAAGGCAGAATTATTGTTATATAACCAGAAAATTTGCTATTGCGAATTTGTAGTCATATTTATGTAATTTTAGGTCAGCTCAATTTATCCTTATTTATCAGCAAGCATAAGTAATAAAGTGGGATGGCATTTGTCATTGTGTGGAGGGTTATTGAAAAAATGGCTCTAGTTGGGAAATAAACTATATAACAGTTGTTGGCTTTATCAGTTTCAGGATAACTAATATATGTCAAATCCCACAGAAATGGAGATATTCAGGATCCCTCATCCCATATATTTTAAAGGAAATGCAGCTGGTGACATCTTTCTCTCCCATATAATCTTCCCTAATAACGAAGTTTACCAGTCATTCCTTTTTTTGTGTCTATTTTGTTATATTCTTTCTCATCCCAGTCTCCTTGGTTAGATGCGAGTCATGATTCCAACTTCGTCTCTCTCATGTTATAAGTTATTTATCATTGATTTGTCATTTTTAAAATACAGAATGGGAAAAATACACAAAAGCAAGGATATAGTGTGAGAATGAACACAAGTTAATGATGATAAGGTAAAAATCACAGCAGTCAAACTTGTTCAAGACAGCCACCTATGGGACCTGATGAAAACTAGTATTGCACAGAGGTGACTGTCTGAAACAGGTTTACTCTGTGACAGATCTGTTAAGAACTGCCCGTCTCTTGGGAGACAGAGCAAGCTAGTTATGCTTTTTTCTTCTCTTGAATATTAATAGATCAAATTAGAATGATAGAATGCATGGGCTTTTTTTCATAATGAAAAGTGAATAGTTTAAGGAATCTCAGCATGATAACATAATTCTTCCATAAATTTAATGAACTTTCAGATATGGCAAAGAAAATCTGATTGGGAGAAGTCTACTTGTTGAACATTTACAAAGATTTATGGCACTATGTGGTTAAGAGTTTTAATCCAGAGAAAAATATCCCATAGTAGGAACCCTTTGAGAGATAGTATTAGTTTTGTGTTAGTCCACTTCAGAGAACTACTATGAAACCTTATCCAAGGGATAGCATTAAGATTCTGCATACCTCACAGTGTAACCTTGTCTTCCTATATAATCTGACATCCATTCCCTTCCTCTTTGACCCACCTGAGAAGTGTTTTAGATTTGTATGTAAATAACCCAAATGTATGACTGACTGTAAATATACTTTTAATTGTTTTTTCTCTGCTCATTTTTGTTGTCTTAAAAAAAAATTAGCTTCACTTTTACATGCATCTTTCCCAATGTAGTGATGTGGTTGGTCCTTGTAACAGGAAAATGCATTGCTGATTAATTTACCAAATATATGTGATACCCAGTATTTATCTAATTTCATTGTCCTTTGTAGATAGAACGTGTGTTAGTAGTATTTAGATGTCATCAAAAAGGCCCTGTCCACACAATAGAGCAATGCTTAGTGGACTTGACCTATTTACCAGGCAAAGCCTGTATGTCCATCCATGCCTGTCAACATATGGCCAAACTATCAAGCAAATGGTTTGCCTGTAAATTTTACATGAACAACAGAATGGAGCCTAAGGCCTAGCCCACATGAATGGCATTCATACACAGGAAGCATTATTACCACACCACAAAAACAAGCAAGGATAACTTCAGAAATTTTAAAATGACAACCATAACTATTGTTAGGTAAAATGCTCAAGTCCAACCCTCAGCAGTGCCCATTCAGCTGTGTGGATGTAAAGCAGAGTCTGTCCCCTGCAGAGCCACACCAGCCTGGGAATTGCTTGTTTTTAGGCTGCATCTTTTAATTTGCTTTTTTATGTGGCAGAATACACTTTTGCCCACATTAGCACTGCCCTTCATGTGGACAGGGCCTTACTGTATTACACTAGGAGCCTTTTGTAATGAAATACTTACCCAGACATTTCATTTTTCCAAACTTATTTTTTTTTCTTTCAAAATCATATTCAGATAGGAGAAAAAGAAAAAACACATTGCTCAACAGGGATTTATTGTGAGCAGTGAAGGCTCCTCATGGGTTCCTCAGGTAAGTCTGGGTCTTACCTGGCCTCACCTGCTGCGCTCAATGATATATTTCACCAGAAATACCACTGAGTAAGTTAAGTTAAAATAAAACCTAATGTACCTAAGAAGGCATTTAACGATATGTTCCCAACCCTAAAAGCATCCCAACTCTAGCAATACTTCAGCATAGAAGTAAGCTGAATTTATATTGTCTAATAACAATAGAATAAAAAGAATAATTGTCTGGCAAAATAAGTACCTGGAAAAATGATAAAAGACTTTGGTAGTTTCACTTGTGTTGGGTATTAAAGCTTGAGTTAGTCTTGCACCAGCATGTCTGGTGGGTAGGATACATTACCAGATTGAGGCATTTCTTGATAAGACGCATTCTCCCAAGTAAATACAAGGGATGTCAGTCTTATACTAAATACCTGAGGCAGGTGAGTTACCCTAGCTAGCTGCTTGAGCCCAGAGGCCCTCTATCACTGGTGCCATGTTCTGACACCACCTAACTATCACACTGTGGCCTTGACCACATTTTCAAGAATAATTAAAAATATACAAAACTATATACATGCTGTACATATCATTTCTTGTCCTTGACATTATCAGGACTATCTGGGAAGAACACTTTGGTGATCACAATGTCGCCTGTACTGAGAGTCTGGCACTCAGCATCAGCTTTACTTGTGAGCGCTGATGATGAGGGCACACTGTTCAGGGAGGGAGGTGGGGAGGTCTGTGGAGAGAGTGGTGCTCCTTGGGAGTAGCTGTGGCAGTGGCAGCAGCACTGAGCAGCTGGGCTGCTGGTGGTGGTGCCTGCAGGAGATGAACCTCCAGATAACTGTGTAGCTGCTGCTAAAATGGCCTCCAAACGGTCAATCTTCTCCAGCCGATCCATAGTACCATTGCTTAATACTTGCTCCACCATGTTCATGCTTGTGGTAAGTGATGGTGAACCTCCATACCCATCTGCATCTGCCTCCCCATCGCACCTTGGAGACAATAGTCCTCCACCAGAGCCCCCGGAGCCTCCACTGCCAACACTACTCAGACTTGGATATTCACCTTCTTCAACCCCATCTCGTTCATCATCGTCATCATCATCACTGTTGTCATCATCATCATCATTCTTGTCAGGAGATTCATCTCTACAAGATAAAGGATATTTGAATGAGATTTAGGGGAAGAATTTAAAAAAATAATAAAAGAAAAAAAAGATAAGAAAGAAAGAAAGACAGAAAGAAAAACTATATACATATTTACATATAATTCTACAATCTGATTTTGTTTTCAGTACTTTTAGCAATAAAAGAATGAAATAAGGCAACTGTCATTCAGGTATTATTACGTCAAAATGTAATATATTCCTGAGTTTGTCAAAAGTTTGGTGGATAAAAAGTGATATTCAATTAAAGTTTGCTAAACATGAAATTTTTTTTTATAAATACACATAGAGGGATAGACTGATCAGTCTAGTCCATATTATATTTACTACAGAAATTGATTATAGCTGGAAATAACAAAATATTATGTTTGGAGGAGCAAGCCAAATATTTGTTTCCAATAGATTCAGAAGCTCAATACAAAATTCGATTTTTTTCTTTATTTGAAGGGAAATGAAGTGAACATAATAAAATCTACTTCACATGATAAGTATCACACAAATTTTAACATACAAAATGAAGTAAATACCCTAACCCATGTCCAGTGATATCTCTACATAATTTAACCAGAATTCAAATAAATGATGTAGCTTACTTACCTTTCTTTCTTGCTCTGTAAACGTTCTAACTTTTTAGCGACTTTGTAGGACCCTTCCAGTTTTTCTCGTTCTTCATCACTTAATTCTAGGTATCTGAAATTATGAACATGAACAATGTCAAAGCACTTTTCAAGCAGATAAGCCAGATGGTTAACAATTTTTTGTTGTTGCCATCTATGACAATATTTCATATATCATAAAAATATAAAAATCATTTTCAGAACTGACACATTACGAGACTGAAAATATCAGCTTCAAAAAATGTCAACAAAATAAAGTCTTTATACTAGACTGAAAATGTCAGCCTCAAAAAATATCAACAAAATGAGTATTTGTACTTCAAACCTAAAGACTAAAATTTCACTCAAAATCCTCTTTAACCCTACCTAAGCAATCTGATCTCTCTGTTTGAAAGGACGATGGCTCTGGCTTGGGTTGTCGCGAGCTTTGTCTTGAGTTCTGCTACCTCGGTTTCTATTTTGCGCTGCTTCTTCTTCTGTTTGACCTCCTCGGGCTGGATCATGGCTTCCACCTGCTCCTGGCACAGCTCCTCAAACAGAGGCATGAGGGCAGGGTCCAGCTGCCTGATGATGGAGACGTGAAGGGTAATTTAAAAACGTCGCAAATATATCTTTGTGACATTGACGATCATATTTAAGTATAGTTTCTGTTAAAGACATGGTTATTTCATGTAGAATAGAAGAAAAGGAAAACATTATATGAGAAATAGAGGGAGAGAGAGAGAGAAATGGGGGGGGGAGACAGACAAAAAAGGAGAGGAGGGGAGGGGGGGAACTCACTTCTTCATGGCATCATAGACCGTGGGCACAAGTGCGACCACATCATATGCCGCGTATACCACCATGTCTTCCGTGAGAGGTCGGCGCGCCCAGAAACGTTGGTCTCTCCTGTAGACGTTTTTCATCTGCCGAAAGAAGCGGAAAGTCAAGAAGGAATTCGCACGACATGTCCGCCCGGTGAGGTGGTGCGGAAACATACATGCTTTATGAACTATCGCATGAGAATGTGTCAGGTGGCATGTGTGCCAGATGCTATGACATAAGCATTCATCCTTTCTCATGAAGTTCCGCTACAGAAAATATATTTGATGATATACACACACACTCACTCACTCACTCTCTCTCTCTCTTTTACACACACACAGACACACAGACACAGACACACACACACACACACACACACACACACACACACACACACACACACTCACACACACACACACACTTGTCTGCCTTATACCCTTTCACAAACAAACAAATAAAACGAACGCACGCACGCGCAAGCGCCCCTCCCAACACACACCCCCTGCATCCTAAAAACAGCGCGGCGAGAAGCACTTCGATATAAATTTCCAATCGATCTGCTGGCATAAAATGCAGTGATTACAACGAACAAAAATGTAGTACGGCTAATCCCTCTTGACTAATGAACTAAATAAAAACAAAAACAAAACACAAACCATGATTATAATTACCGAGATCTCAAGTACGTCACCCGGATATAGCGCCTATACGCCCTCGAAAACAAAGGGATGACGGAGGGAGAAATTGCAGCGAACGCCTCACCCTTTTCCTCCCGCCATGTCAACCACAGGAAATACGTCGATACCTATAATCGCACTCTATGACGGAAATTCCAGGCCATTCCACCGCGAAAACATGTATTCCATGACCGGGGGTGGGGGTGGGGGGTTATATGCGTGCATGCCCGTGTGTGTGCTTGTTGCATATATATATATATATATATATATATATATATATATATATATATATATATAATATGTGTGTGTGTGTGTGTGTGTGTGTGTGTGTGTGTGTGTGTGTGTGTGTGTGTGTGTGTGTGTGTGTGTGTGTGTGTGTGTGTGTGTGTGTGTGTGTGTGTGTGTGTGTGTGTGTGTGTGTGTGTGTGTGTGTGTGTGTGTGTGTGTGTGTGTGTGTATGTGTGTGTGTGAGAGAGAGAGAGAGAGAGAGAGATTGTGTTCATGTGTGCGTGTGCGTGTGCGTGTGTGTTACATGGCGGGATTCAGTCAGTCCCGAATCCCTCATTACTCGCTTATACCAGTAAATCCCCAACGCACCGGACCCCACTGACCGCGCTGGGATATACTGCAGGTTATTCTACTGCGTTTTTATGCTGGTTTTGCGGAGGGATTTGTGATGTTAATGTTCTTTTCTAATGCAGCGCTTAAGCCTTGCTGATGAACAGATATTTAACGATCCTAAACCCGGCTTTCGTACAAAGTCAATAAGGTATCACAAAAGATATCTCATGAAGCTGTCTTACGTCTACATTTAAAACAAACTTCCATCCTTACCCATTCTCCCTAATCTCACTATAAAAAACGGGGAAATATGATCGAAAGGCGCACGGTTTTCCCGCCACCTCCATTTTTCCCTAACATCTTCCTGCCTCAAAATAAGGAGCTTGTGAAGCCAACCGGCAGGTGCCATTAGGTCGCTGGACAAGGCAGCACGTAAGCTACGCCTGTGACAGCGACCCGCGAATGGACACTCGCTCATTCACTCTTTGTCTCGCAAAACACAGTGTTATCCCGGCTAAGACGTCACTTACAAGATGTTGTGCCTGTGTGAAGTATGAAGTCAGATTCACATTCATATTCCTACTCATATTTCGTCTGTTTCTTTTCTCGCACACGCACGCTTACACACGCATGCGCCGCCGCACACAAGCACGCACTCACGCGCACGCACGCACGCACGCACGCACGCACGCACACACACACACACACACACACACACACACACACACACACACACACACACACACACACACACACACACACACACACACACACACACACACATACAACGCGTCTTACCTGGTCCTTCCGTGGGTTGACGGGGGCATTGTAGGAACGGCAGAGTGTGTTCAAGGAAACGTTCTTCACCTTGTACACGGGTTTGCCAGTCTCCTGCTGCTGCAACACTGCATGGGCCGCCTGGAAAGGAAGAAAGACAGCGTGAGGAAAAAAGATTCACGTTTAATAATATTTACCAGTCAACAATGCAGGTTTTACCAGCAATCTCACTTTTGAACTATTTTAGTTTCATAATGTTTTTTTTTTTTTTTTTTACTTATTTCTTTTTTCGTCTCATCTGATAAATAACATTAAAAAATAATGGAACGAAAAAAATATCTACATAAAAAATTGTGATTCATCTACTTAATTGGCAAAAAAAAAGAGTGAGGGGGAAAATGAGCTACGAGAACCTGGTTATATAAGACGAGTAAGTGAATAATGTGAAAAAATCTTGGGTAGACGATACAAGCCAAATTCATAAAATGGGATAAGAGAAAACTATATTGGTAAAAACTGCCGATTAATGAAAACAATTAGTTGTCGTACTATGACTATAATAAATCTAAGAATTCGAGTCAGATTTGAGAGAGAGAGAGAGAGAGAGAGAGAGAGAGAGAGAGAGAGAGAGAGAGAGAGAGAGAGAGAGAGAGAGAGAGAGAGAGAGAGAGAGAGAGAGAGAGAGAGACGGGGGGGGGGGGGGGCAGACAGACAGAGACAGAAAAAGTTAAAATAAACGCCACAAGGCAAAAGCCGATAACCATGTGCGGCATGACATGGCCTTGGTCACACAACATATTCGTAGTGGTATAATCATATAAAGAAATAATAATAATATAAAAAATATATATTTGCAAACTCTAACTCTGCGACCTCGTCCTTTCGTACCCAAAATGTAACTATATTTTCAACCTCATTTTACTGAGAAGTGCAAAAAACAAACCCTAACCTACTTGCAAATTTTTCAACCCGTGTCATGCTGAACGGATGTCGATCTTCCACATAAACACCACAAAAACTCGGCCCCAAGAACACCCGGCACGAGCACCCCGCCAACAGTGAAAACACGCCCCGTTTCCAACATGAACCACGGAATCCGTCTCCAAGCCAGCCACGCCAAAACAAGCAGAATTCTGTCCTAATGGCTCGTTACCGAAAATGATTGCAATGGAGGGGAATAACAGTGATAACGGCAATAAAAAACCCGGCTACGACTTAAGCAAGGGCTGGGCAAACCTCTCGTAAACACGCGGCCAACGACAAACGACGGCGCGACATGAACGCCGCTTTTTGTTTACGTGTTCGTTTCGCTGAATCACTGATAGATCTCTCTCTGTCTTTCTTCCCTGTTTTGTTTTCATAAACTATTCTTTCCTCAATATTCACGCTTGAGACAGTCATTGGATAAGAATGAATAACATTACCCCGACTACCGAAAAAAGTACGAAATCAGAACGGGCACCATCTCCCGCCTTAGACTTTCACCAAGCTGCCCGCTACATAAAGACAGACAATACGACTACAGCGCCACGGCATGAAAACGGACCCACGGCGTCCTCGGGTGATTCGCCAGTTGCCTAACACGTCCGAGTCACATCATCCTCGCATGCCCGTGTCACCAAAGGCAAGATACCGCGATGAATAAATAACATAAAAGGTATAAATATATGGAGTCCGTTCGGCCAGCATGCAAAGACCTCTCTCGTGCTCTCCCTCGGTATATGGAGCGCTCGATTCAGAGTAAGAAATACGTTCCTTTTGTTTACCATTCACATTTTCATCAAACGTAAAGAACCCTGTTATATCCTTTTCGTTTGTTCGAGGTTGCTTTGATCTCTTGGAAACCACTCTTCATCTTAAAAAATCTAACCATCGAACATGCTCTAAATTCTTACAGCAATCCAGCAAATTCAACCTCAAAGGCTCCCACACTACAAATCTCTTACCGTTGTTTATTTCACACGAAAAAAAAAGAAAAAAATCATCGCCCATCTCCATACACCCTCCCCCTTCCCCCTTCCGTTCCTCTCTCTCCCTCCAGGACCTCAGCTCTTTAAAGTTCCACACTCAGACCGCACCACAGAAGCCCACGTTCACACACTTCGATCTGTATTCTGAGAAGCCTCGCCTCGGTGTCCTTTTAAAAACAGCAACGCATTATGGGGTTTTGCGACGGTTTCGTGCTGAGGGTGTATGGATGACATTGTGATGATAATGAGACTCCTATTGTTGACTGCAATGACTGTCTGAATACCGGGAAGGCGGTGCTCCTTCGCTAGAAATAACCACGAGAGGGACGCAGAAGGGAGAGCAAAATAACAATACCAACAGGGAGCGTGCGATATTATTACAAACATACACACACACTATCTATCTATCTACTTATTTACCTATTCATCTATCTACCTATCTATCTTATCAATCAGTCAGAGAGAGAGAGAGAAGTATGAATTAACGCAGGATCTGCCACGAACCCAGTCAAATACCCAAGGAAACCCATGTGGCGCAAGCACACCTGCGCGCAAATGCATGACGAGAGCGCGCGTGCATCTGCCCCAGCGCCCTCGCCCGGCCCGCCCTCCGGAGTGACCCCGCGCTCCCGCCA